AAAAAAAAATTTGTTACAGTAAAAGGCACATTGCCATTAATCCCCCTCAAAATACTCTCCCTCATTTTGAGCAGACTTTTCCCATCGTTCTTGCCACTTTCTGAAGCAGTCCTGGAAGTCCTCTTTTGTGAGTGTCTGTACTTCATTGTCCATCATGACAACACCCAGTGTCATGCATCACTTCTGGTACAGCAGTTTCTGTCAAATAAATAAATTACGGTGTGTCCTCATCCACCTTATTCACCAGATCTGGCATTGTGTGACTTATGGCTCTTCCCCAGTCAAAATGACCATGAAAGGTAAACATTTTGAATCGATTCAGGACATTGAGGCAGCCATGACAGTGCAACTGAAGACACTCATGAAAGAGGACATCCAGAACTGCTTCAGAAAGTGGCAAGAATGATGGGATAAGTGTGTTTGAAGTGAGGGGGAATGTTTGGGGGGGGGGTGTTAATAGCGATATGTCTTTTACTGTAATAATTTTTTATTTAAGCATTCATCGTATTTTGTGATCACACCTCGTATCAAATGTAATGTCATCAGACAGGCCTTCCCAGATCACTCTAGTGTAACCTCTGCCCAGCCACTCGCTCTGTCATTATCCTTTATTCTTCATGGTAGGTCTTGTACAATGTCTTTGTGATTGTCTGTTTCCTCCACTGGAACAGGAGCTCCATGAACACAAGGCTTTTCTGCCTTACCCTCCACTGCCTCCAGCACCTAGAACAGTGCCTGCAGTGTATTGGCACTCAGTGTTAGTTGAATGAGTATGTGAATTGTTTGGACCAGAGACTGGACTTTTTCCCCCTGTGAAACATTTTAATACTGATTTGTTATTTCCACTTTGGTGTCTAGGCATGTGGAGTGATAGTAGAATTAATCAGAAGCAAGAAAATGGCTGGAAGAGCTGTCTTGTTGGCAGGACCTCCTGGAACTGGCAAGGTACTCATTTTCTCTCATTTCTTTTAATCTACTTAAGAGAATGCTCTTAATGTTTAATTTCTAAGCCAAATTGAATTTGTGGCTTAACTAGTCTTTGTTTAGCTAAATTGGTTATATGTATGTTTTTAAAACTAATGTGCAGTAATACAATTGAGTATCTAAAATCCATGCTTCTAAAATTCAGATTATCCTGGCTGACCTCCAGAGAAGAGAAAATGAAGTCCTCAGAGGGTCTCATTGTCTCTAGAATTTGTCCTGTATCTCTTTCAAGTCTCCTTTGCTTTGGAAATACATTTCTGTTGGCCTAGGGCTTCATAAAATCTTCAGAGTGACATCTTAATCGAGGGTGAAAAAATAGTCAGCAAGCATTTTTCTGAACGCTAGCTTTACCCAGCACTATTCTGGCTGTGTGAGAGATGAGGAAAAAAAGAAAGAAGAAAGGAATTAGAGACATGATTTTTATCTTCAAGGGGCTTATAGGGCAGAGAGAGGAAACCATGACAGGACGAAATGCTTCAGTTGAACACTAAGCTGTGAAATATTGACTGATCTTAAATGCAGCTGGAAGTAGAGCAGGAGGCAGCACTGAGGGCTAGTAAAGCTGGAAGGGTTGTCTTGACATTTGCCCTGCAAAGTGGGGAGAGGATTTGACTGTGCAAGAAAGAAAAGGGCCTTCCAGGTAGAGGGAGGCAGTATGGCTTGTTTGGATCCATGAGCGGACTGCCTAGATACTTGAAACGCTCCAGAGTCCCCAGTGGGAGCCCTGCTTGTTCTTCAAAAGGGCCAACTTGGTACAGGAGAGCAGGAGCTCGAGACTCTGTTTGTAAAGAAATAAGCTTTAAATTCCAGCTCTGGTGCTGACTTGCCATGAGACCCAAGGCAGGTTTCTTAGCCTTTCTGAATTAGTAGCACGTCCCCTGCCTATTTTCAGGAAGTCCAACTTTTAATTATACTGGTGTCTTAAAACAGAGGAAGAAGTGCCATGTTTCTTAACAAATTTTTTAAACTTTGACATGCCATATAAAGGTGAGCTTTCATTACCTCTGCAGGCAACATTAGCTTGTGCAATGTATTTACCATTTATTTATATACTATTCCTTCTTACATCTTAGACTCTGACTTACCCTCCATTTTTCTTCTTCCTAAAGTGCATCATTTAGAAGTTCTTTCTAGAAGTTTGTTGGTGACAAAGTCAGGTTTGTAATTATTATGTTGCCCTTGTTTTGAAAGATAGTTTAGTTGACGGCTTATTTTCTCTTATTACTATTTCTCTCAATGATACCTGCGCCCTGTTGGTTTCTGTGTTTGCTTCTGAGAAGTCTAATTTTGAGGATTTTGGTTTTTCTGCTGGTTGTTTTTGAGATATTTTTGGTTTTGGTATTTCAGTATGCTATGTCAAAGAGTGAAGTTATTTTTATTTATCAATCTTGATATTGATTGTGTTTTCTGAATCTGAATATTATGTCTCTAATGAGTTCTGGGAAGTTGTTGGCCTTTATTTTTTTCAGATATTGCCTTTCCCTATTCCCTACATCCTCTCCTTCTGGAAATTCAGTTAGATGTTAAGTTTGACTGCAAAGGTTCTCAACCTAGGGCAATTTTGCTTCCCTGAGGGACATTTGGCAATGTCTAAGAGACGTTTTTGGTTGTCACAACTTGGTTGGGCGAGGAATGCTACAGGCATCTCATGGGTGGAGGCCACAGGTGCTGCTAAACATCCTACAGTGTGCACAGGGTAGTCTCTACAAGGAATTATCCATCCCAAAATGTCAATAGTGCCAAGATTAGGACACCTTGGGCTAGAGCTTCTCATTTTGTCTTCTTTGTCTTTTCAACTTTTTTTTCATATTTTCCATCTTTTTTACTTTGCTGCATTCCAGATGATTTCTTTAGACCTCTGTTCCAGTCTGATTGTTTTGTAAGCTATGACTAAGCTGCTGCTTAATCCAATCCATTGAACTTGTTTTCTTTTCATTTAATTGAAACCTACAAAAGAGTTGAAAGAATAATATGATGACCCTCTCTATACCCTACACATAGATGAATAATTGTAAATATTTTGTGATGTTTCCTTTTTTTTCTATTTTATTTCTGAGCCATTTAAAAGTAAGTGCAAGGATGTTTTCTTACATTACCAGTATATTATCATCACACCCAAGAGATTTAATGTTGCTAATAGTATTAGTAGATGTCTAATTTATATTAAAGGTTCTCCAAGTTGTTCTAGTTTTTGGCTGTTTCATTTTTTTTATACTTTTAAATTCAGAATATAATTAAGGATCACATATTGCATTCATTGTTATGTCTCTTAAGTCTCTCTTTATCTAGAACAGTTACCCTACCCACCATTTTTTAAAATTTTGTTTTCCTTTAGGCATTGATATTTTTGAAGAGTTCAGGACAGTTGTTTTGTAGAATGACCTACAACTGTCCTATAATGATTGTCTGTTTTTGTATGAAATGTTAAACACTTTGGCACTACACTGCACAGGTAATGTTGTATCCTTCCATTGCTTCACAGCAGGAGGCTGATGCCAGGTTCTGCTGTGAAGATACTGGTTCTCTTTGTAATCAATAAGTAATCTGTGAACTGACATGTTGAGATGTTGCGAATATCCTTTTTACCTGTGGGTGTAGCATTCATTGACACTCACTGCTTATCAGTTATCTCATTGGTGGTTGCAAAATGATTATTTAAAAAAAAATTTTATTAAAATATAGCTAACATACAATATTAGTTTTAGGTATACACTGTAATTATTCAACATTTATCTAGCTAAAGAAGTGATCACCATGATAAGTCTAGCAACCTTCTTATACTGTACCACACTATCGCTGTATTATTGACTATATTCCCTATGCTGTACGTTACATCCCCATGACTTACTTGTTTTATACCTGGAAATTTGAACCTCTTATTCCCCTTCACCTTTTCCCCCCTAATTTTTAGTTTTTCAATTACAGTTGACATTCAGTATTATTTTATATTAATTTCAGGTGTATATCATATGGTTAGACATTTATATAATTTAATAAGTGACCCCCCTGACTAGCCTAGTACCCACCTGGCATTATACATAATTATTACCATATTATTGACTATATTCCCTATGCTTTCCTTTACATCTCCATGACTATTTTGTAACTACCAATTTGTACTTCGTAATGCCTTCCACCTTTTCACCCTGCCCCCCAACCCCCTCCCATCTGTTACCCCAATACCTCTCGTACCCATCTGACACCATACATAGTTATTACAATATTATTGACTATATTCCTTATGCTATACCCTACATCCCCATGACTATTTTGCAACAATCAATTTGTATTCTTTTTTTTTTTCAATTTGTATTCTTAATCCCCTCCCCTTTCTCACCCACTCCCCAACCCCCCTTCCATCTGGCAACCATCAAAATGGTCTCTATTTATGAGTTTGTTTCTGTTTCATTTGTTTATTTCTTTTGTTCTTTAGATTCCACATATAAGCAAAATCACATTGCATCTGTCTTCCTCTGTCTCACATATTCCACTTAGCACAATACTCTCCAGGTCCATCCATGCCTCTGTAAGAACCCATTCCTTTCCATGGCCAAGAAATATTCCATTGTGTATATGTATCACCTCCTCTTTAACCATTCATCCATCAGCAGATACCCAGGCTGCCTCCACATCTTGGCCATTGTAAACAATGCTGCAGTGAACATATGGATATAAACACACGTCCCCTCGAAGTAGTGTTTTGGGTTCCTTCGGATGAATACCCAGAAGTGGGATTACTGGGTCCTACTTTGTCTCTTGTTATAGTCTTTGTTTTAAAGTCTATTTTGTCTGGTATTAGTATTGCTACCTCAGCTATTTTGTTTGTTCCCTTTTTCATGAAATATCTTTTTCCTATCCCTTTACTTTCAGTCTGTGTGTTTCTTTCACTGTAAAGTGAGTCTCTTGTAGGCAGCATATGTAAGGGTCTTGTTTTCTTATCCATTCAGCCACCCTACCTTTTGACTGGAGCATTGAATCCATTTACATTGAAAGTAATTGTTGATATGTATTAATAGTTATTGCCATTTTATTATTGATATTTTATATATATTGGGTTGTCAGAAAAGTCATGTCGTATATTTTCTGTTTTTCGTTGCAAAAATGCATCATGACTTTTCCGACAACCCAATATATATATTTTTAATTTATTATTTTTTTCATATTAAAAAAGTCCCTCTAAGATTCCTTATACTTTTGGTTTGGTGGTGATGAACTCCTTTAGCTTTTTCTTGTCTGCGAAGCTCCTTATCTGTTCTTTGATTCTGAATGATAGTATTACTGGGTATAACCACAGTCTTGGCTGTAGGTCCTTTCTTTTCATTACTTTGAATATTTCGTGCTAATCATCCCTTCTGACCTGCAAAATTTCAGTTGAGAGAAAAGCTGACAGCCTCATGGGAGTCCCCTTGTAGATAACTAACTGCTTTTCTCTTGCTGCTTTTAAGTTTGTTTTTTTTTAAGATTTTTTTTTTATTGAGGAATTGGGGGATGGGAACAGTGCTGGGGAATTGGGGGAAGGGGAACAGACAAGTTCCCCTGTCATTTTTTTGTTGTTGTTCTTCAGTCTAGTTGTGGAGGACGTTGCTTCACTGGCCCAAGTTGGCACCATCATTGTGCTCTTCCCGCACGAGGCAGATCAGTCGCCGGCTTCTGGACGGCCACTCGCTGCGGCTGCTGGCTACACATGGTAGCCATGGCAACCCACTGCAGCAGGGGCTGCAGCCTAGCCATCGCCAGCAACTCAGGGCAGCCCAGCTCCAGATTGAGCTGTTGTTCAGCATCTTAGCTGTAGAGGGCAGTGTCACTGGCTCTCATATGTGGGATCCGAACCGGAGCCCTTAAGTTTCTTTCTTTGTCTTTAACCTTTGGCATTTTAATTATGATGTGTCTTGATGTGGGCCTCTTTGGCTTCATTTTGTTTGGGACTCTGCGTTTCCTGGGTTTGAATGTCTATTTCCTTC